GCTCTCAAAGGTCTTTTAATAATACTCACAACATGCCTTTTAGATTTTTAGATGTGCGCACATTTAGTTTTTTTTTGTAAAGAAAAAATGTATTTATGTATGGAAAGCATCGTCAATGCAACAAGATATCGAATTGAACCGAATCGATGGTATAATAATCGGAACCAAACCGAACCGTGAGACCAGTGTAGGTTCACACCCCTACTATTTGGCCAATGAAGCCCCCCTTCTTTTAACGGAGCCAGTCGTTGATCGCTATATGGCGAATGAAGCCCGCCTTCTAGTACAGGAGCCAATCATCAAGCTACATGGCGAATGAAGCCTGCCTTCTAATACAGGAACCAATCGTCGATTGCTACATGGCGAATGAAGCCTGCCTTCTAATACAGGAACCAATCGTCGATTGCTACATGGCGAATGAAGCCTGCCTTCTAATACAGGAACCAATCGTCGATTGCTACATGGCGAATGAAGCCTGCCTTCTAGTACAGACAGACTTGAGTTTCTGCAAATTTTGTGTGATTAGAACATTTAAAAATTAAACTAAAGAGGCCGTTGTTGTTTAATTTTATTGGTGATTCCCCATATGAAATTAAATCATAAGCTTGGCAAACAGTTTTGGAGAATTTAATGTTTCCACCTTCATACACATGGCCTGTGCATTCTGCCTAAGAGGTGTTACAAAGATGGCCGCCGAGTGAAATCACTTGTCTTAAAGAGACTTTGCTAACAACTTGATGGAAAGCAACTAATTCATAATTGAGATTTTTTTTCTGTTTTTGCAAGCTTTAAAAAAAAAGGTCTGCTTCATGTTAGGGTGTAAATCTGGCTATTAATGACTGGGCAGACGGAGCTCAGCCTGCACTAGCGGTGCAGCTCTCCAAACACACGTTCACTGCACCTGCACTTCATTAACAGTTCAGCCAGAGAACTCAGATGACAAGAAGACAGCAGCCAGCCAGAAAGTGCTCTCCATGGAGAACTGACCTGGGAACTGTACAGAGAGCTTCTGACAACACATATTTCATAAAGTCTTGTCTATTTTTATGTCTTCATATCTAAGGGTCAGAGTGAACTGGGGCGTCTGTAATAAAATGTAACTCGCCTACCTGAGGAGGAGGGTGAGACATTCTTACAGACGCTGCGGCAGTGAAGAGAAGAAATGTCAAGTTTCAAAATGTGGCCACATTGAGCTTAGAGAATGTAAATATCACACCAGTTTATTTTCACTTACTGCAGAGCAGACGAGATTATCTAAACTGAAGAGCTTAACATAAAGTCTTAAGAATGTTTACATTTTGGAAAAAAAGAGTCATTTTAAGACCAAGTTTGTCTTTTATACAGTATATTAGTTTTACAATTTTAAAGCCTCATATTGTGCAGGGTGTCCAATGGGGGTTAGAGTATTAAATGTTAATAAATCACTTTCGAGAAATTAAGGCCCTTAAAAAGTACAATGTATTACATTTTATATCAGTATGCTAAATTTTACCTTAATTTAGTCTGAGTATTGGGAGGCTGTGTAGTTTCTGAAATCGATAAAATCTTGCTAGATTTGAATTTTTTTACTACAGTAACCAGGGAAACGCTGTAGTAGACGCCTCCTGCTGAAATAGCATTTTTATTCAGCATATGAGTAATGTTAACATTAGTTTTTTACAATCAGTATTCAGTAAATATACTGTAAGTTAAAATCTCTGCGGTGTTACCGGTTGAAACCTAAAGTGGCAATGATGGCAATTTTCTAGAATATTAAAGATTACAATTAGCAACAGAACAATTAAAAACACAATTAAAAGCAAATGTAAACTGCACTGAAGGAACTTTTTACAGTAGTGTCCATTTCTAATTTAAAACCAAATTAAGGTGTCCTGCAAAGTTTAGTTCCAACCCCAATCAGACACACTTGGGCTAGCTAATCAAGCTCTTACTAGGCTCTCTAGAAACATCCTTGCAACCCTGGTATAGATCTTTTAAGCTGATTTAGTCAAATACTTAAATAAATGCTTTTTGTGTCTAACTAATTGAATGAAAATGATATATTATCATTTTTGCATTGTTGTAAGCTGTTTTTTATGGACATCTTCTTCTGTTGGAAAATAAAGCCTAAACTGTTACGTGAGAGATGTTTATTCATGTTCATTTGGTGCTATAACCAGTAGTAAAGAGGGAGGAATGATCACGTTCACTAACACTTCATTTGAAGTGAGGCATCTGTGGGCAATCTGTTTTGCCCCACAATAAATAAAAGCTTTTTAATGTTGCATTTTTGGATTTTATTGATAAATTGAACATAATTTGTAAAGATATAACTCTGTTTTTGTATTAACCCTTTAACTGTCTGCTCTACCAAATGGTTGCCCATATTTTGACTATTTTAAATAATGACTGTTAAAGTAATTTAAAGTTTTTTTAAAATAATGGTTTACACAAAGAGCACTGTTAGTTTACAAAGAAAATCAAACTAAATCCTGTTGCACTACTACACTTGACTTTGGTTTCGTTGTAAAAAGAAATCCAGAAAACATGTTAGAGAATCTGAAATATTTTATGCCATACTTCAAAAAAGAAAAGATGATTTAGCATTTCAAGATGTTTTATTCTGATTTTGCATTGAGTGTGTTAACTAGCGACATTAGGAGTTATGTAATGCAGTCCAATTTTCTTTTTTTTTTCTCTTTTTTGTGAGAGCGTTAAAGGGTTAAGAGGATTCACTAAACTGCATTCCGGGAGAGTTGATCTGAACTGAACTAAACTGTTCTTCAACTGAACAGAAGCAGTCACAATTTACTACTTCATCTTTGTTACGCTGCTTTGGCGCAATCTACATTGTAAAAGGCTCTACAGAAATAAAAATAAATTGAAATGTACAGAATTAAACGCTCTCCTAGCAAAAAGTTCTCTGAATATATATCAGATGGAAATAAAATGATCGCCTTGAGAATAATTTCGGACCCTTTCACATTGCATTTTGTCTGGATTTATTTTGAATTCATATTAGACGGACGGTGTGTCATATTTACAGACTATAAAGGACACCAGCCAAAACAGGCCTGGCAGCAACATCCCACTGTATACAAACAGAAGCTGCACATTCTCTAGAGATCGCTCTTTTGCCATCTCTCTTCAGGCCTGGAGAATCCCTCAGAGCTCATGCTGAGGAGGGTTAAAGGCTTTTGGAAATCTGATCACAGCTCTTCACGGAAAGCCAACCTCTCCATAGCCCTTGTACTCCCCGCTGATCCTCAAACACTCAACCCGCACCAAGCGTTCCCATCATTCTCATCGCTCCTCTGAGCATTCTTTCATTCTTAGAAAGAGGGCTGGCCTCTCACTTTAGCCACTGCTATCAAACTATAGAGCACATATGGTTCTATAATGATAGTGTCACAGCAGACAATATAACAAATTTTGTCCACAAAGTTTGTGTATGTCAGTTTTAATCACTTCAAGCTTTGTTGAAATGTGCGCCTTACTTGTGTAGCATAACTTTTGTTGGATGATCAGAAGTGACCTCAAAATTACTGTATCTGTAAACAAACTGATTACTTCTGAGCTCTTTGCTGAATTGAATTGCTTACAGTGTGAAGGTTTTAGTTTTTGTTGACGTTGAATACTTTGTGGATGTGAAATTTTAGAAATGTTAACATCAAATTTACAAGAGCAACAATGCAACAATAACTCAGTTGCTTTGAGCCAGTGCTGCCACATAGATTTAAACTGGAGGTTCACGCTTGTGTTGTTATTTTCAATTTTGATTTAGCTTGTTGTGATAGATCTGAATTTGGAAAGATGCTAACAATTAGTGGTGTAATGGATCATAAATCTCACAGTTTGGATCACACTGTGGTTTTTGAGTTACGGATCGGACCTTTTTTCAGATTTGCAAAAAATGAAGGATACAAATCATTGTTTGCTTTCCAATTATACAAAATTATTACTGCAAAAACTATTGGTTTTAACAAGCATAACTTAATACTTGTAATTTTATTAAAAATACAAATCAAGAAAGAACCGGCTGAAAAAGGAAAATATTCAATTCAAAAATGATTTTGCTACTGTTGCTGATAATGCTAAATATAGAAATCTAACATCTTGTACAACAGATCATATTTATTTTCAAAGAATGATTCAACAATTCACACATAAATTGGTGAATTATTTTTGAAAACCGATTCAGTGACATAATTTTGATGGTTGTTTGTCGCCACCTATTAGTTGCACAAAGAAATTGTTAAAAGTAAAAGTTCCAATAAACAGCAATTTTAATCTTTACCATAAACATCAGTGTTTAAATCTGAACGATAAACCATTATACCAGTAACTTAAATAATGTAAAAACTGAATCTCTCTAGATCAAACACAGATTTTAATGCAGCGTTTCGAAGGATTAATAAACATGCAAATCATTATCATTTATCATTTATGTTACGCAGGTTTGAATTGAGATCACAATCTTTAATTGTAAAGCTTTAACCTGAGTGCATCAATGCAGGCTAAACAACAGTGACAGAAAACACCTGTAATTTATAAACCAACGAAAGCATTTAGGTCTCAACTTAACTTTTTCTCTGTAAAATGTAATAAGGATGAAAGCCAAAATGCTTTCATACACGTGATTTGAAGGCGATGTCTCTGCAATTATTATAAATGTTGGATTATCCTACAAGTTCAAAAAAATGTTTAATCTGCGGGTCACTTGCATTCCAAACTATGGGTTGTGATCCATGTTGGACGGACTTTTTTAAAAATAATTTCTTTCTTTAATTTGCTGTTATTGTGTTTTGTTCATTTGTTAAATTATTATATAATGTTATAAATTATTATTTATTGCTTTAAATATATATTTATTATTATTTTAAGGATTTTAAAATATGTGTACAAACATAACAAATCAGCATTATATTGGCTGTTGCTCACCCTGTCCTATTGAATTTGGCTTCAGCTATTGAAAAACCCACTGTGTGGGACTCTAATTGACCTGTTTGTTTGTTTTCCAGGGGACCTTTTAGTGTGGTACGAAGATGCATCAACAGAGAGACGGGCCAACAGTTTGCCGTGAAGATTGTGGATGTGGCCAAATTCACCTCCAGCCCTGGCCTCAGCACAGAAGGTAAAACACATCATATCCTCAGCCAGTTTCCTCTTTAGGTGATGATTGTGTGGAGAATTCATCAACTGTGACCTTTCTAGAGCTCAAAATACATATTCAGCGATTCCTCATGAATACGTATTGAAATATATTTTTTTACATACAGCAGGAAATGAACCAGACAGAAAATCTATATCTGCGTTTATTTAATCTCAGTGTAAAATAAACATCTTGTGGATACACTAACTAATGTAGCTGTCTAAAATATACTGGGGAATTAGTTTTGCTTTATTGATTTGAAAATGCTTGGCTGTTACATATATTCAAAGCACAACACAGTGAGCAGGGAGCGTATGTGTTTTGCGGAGATAGCGGATTGGTCTGCTGATCATACAATACTGTAGCTTATAGTGGGATAAAGCAACCATGAAGACCTGGCTCTTTGTAGCATGCTCTATGTGTGATCACAGATTGCCCCATTAATGGAGCCTTAGGGAGTGTCTACCAATCGTGAGATTCAGTGTCTCTACAGTATGTGTGAGTCTTGGTCTGTGTGGTTTGTTTTTAGCCAAAGTAGATGCTTCTCTAAGGGTGTTTGCGATGATGTTCTGTTTTTTGTTTGTTTATGCTGACTGTACACTCATTTGACCACCTTATTAAGTATGCCTTTTGTTTTCTTTCTTATTATTATCAAGATTCTTAAACAATCTCTTTTTTTTTGGCCCATGTTGTAATGATATATATTGACATCTGGTGGCAGTGGGGGCCAATTGAGTTCAGCAAACTCACTGTCATGTTGAACAAGCCAGTTTGATGAGATTTTGTTTTGTTGACCTGGTTTGTGACCTGGTGTGGTATTTTGCTGTTAGTAGCCAGCACAAGATGAGTGCACTGTGCTCATAAATCTACACAACCAGCAACAAAACTCAGGTAAGCTATGGTAATTAAATAGTAGTCGATTGGTACTAAGGGTTCCAAGAAAATATACTCCATGACATTACATAACCAACACAATTCTGAATCATTTTGGTTGGCACCTAGCCACCTACCCAATCTGAAAGTTGAAGCAAAAATGTCTTAAAATTGTCATCTTTTGTCCAATGTTGGTGAGTCCATGTAATTATAACCTCAGTTTCCTGGTCATAGCTAAAGGGTCGTCACGCAGCAAGCATTGTTTTGTTTTTAAATGTCAAATAAATGTCTAAACATAGTCGCTTTGGCTAAAATAAAGCTAAATTTGGGCTGTCTGCAAATCTAATAGACATCTAGTTTTGGCCTATTCTTAAGGTCTTTGCACACTGAAGTCCGAAGTTTTTGTATGCATTTTTTTTGTTGCAATCATATGTTAAAAATTTGTTACGTAAACAAACCTTGCACCAAGTCCAATCAGTCCATAACGAAAAAATGCTAAATATTTTCGTCGATTTAAGCAGTGATACTGCTGCATAGGCTGATAGGCTGCATATTGTGTGTATCCAATAGAGGAAGGAGAGTTGCTATTATCAAAGACTTGCATTGGATTATCCCAAAGTTTTATTTTAGAAATCAGTGGAATCCTGAACAGTGACGGGCATATTATTTGACATAATAATAGATGGTGGCCGCGTATCGAAGCAACAGACCGAAAGCGGACCATGCTTTCTATTATAATGTCTATAGCAAGTGCATCAAATGTATGAAGACACACACACACACACACACACCGAGCAGCAGCAGGGGAGACGTGCACCAGTCACTGAATCCAGCATGTAGGTGTTCTCAGCTGTCCGCCATATTCTGTCTTTATTTTATGCACTGTGTTTGTCATAAAGTTATCTGTAGCTTAAATTACGGCATTCTGTAATAAGCCTTTTGTTTGTACGGTGGTCAAAACACCTCTCAAAGCGATTTTTCAAAGAAACCGAATTGAATCACTACACTGTCTATTTGATGACTAGTCTAGTTTTGGGCTATTCTTAGATGTTTATTAGATTTTCACTGACAACCCAAGTTAAGCCTTGTTTAAGCCAAGCTGTCTACGTTTAGATGTCTAGAGATGCCTATTAAACACAAAATTGTTTGCTGGGCAGTGTGTTGATCTGCTGCTGTAGCTCATCTGATTTAAAGTTCAATGTGTTGAAGTATTTATTTCAGTCACGGTGTTCTTTTTATCAGCTCGAAACTGTCTAGAAATTCTTCTCTGACCTCTGGCATCACCAAACCTTTATTGCTCACAGAATTGCTGCTTGTAGAAATGTTCTCTCTGTCTGACCATTCTCAAAACAAGATATCCTGAGAAATGGTCAAATTGGTTTAGAGTGCACAAAATGACAGCCCATCTTTCCCATTTCCCTGTCGCACTAAAGCGTTGCATTGTGTCAGAAGATCAATTTCAGCGTGTCTGAATAAGGACAGAAGTTGCAAACAAAATTGACCGAATTAGGAGTTAATGAAGCAGCTTTCACTTCTGAGTGTTGGAGGCATCTATTTTTGTAGTCTGCTTCTAGAATGACATTTAAACGAAACTTGCATCTTATTTAGCACAACAAGACCAAGGAAAGGTAGATTCTCATCTGTGCAGTACTGAGATTGAGTGTTTGAGTCTATGTTGATTTGAAGTCAGTAAGACAGGCAGATTCACTTCCTCTATGACAAGACAGGACTTACCTAAGCATGAAAACTTCCAGTAGCCCTACGGTTTGAGTGTGAATTCTCTGAAGAGAGAGTATTTCATTGTGCAGGATGTTAGGTTTGTGTGTATATGAGGAAGAGATCTTTGCCAAGGGCTTTGTGTTCTCTCAGTCCACTGCTAAACCTCTGTCTCATCTCTCCTGGGTTTCACAGTCTCTGCAAACACTCTGCCCACCTCCCATCTGTCTTTCTCCTATGTGGGAGAGAACTGTAAAGTCTACTGTAAAACCCATGAGACAAGAGAGCTATTTAAATGCTAACTCTGACTTCTGTCACTGTGTATTACCTTTCCAATGTCTGTTTTTCTCTCGAGTAAAGGAAATAAACAACTCCATGACCTTTTCCCACCTATAGTTTATTTACAGTCAAACACACCCTCGCCTTTGTAATGAATACTTTCAGTTCCTGTGATAGCTGAAGAAGAATCCCCCCCCCAAGAAACACAACATAAAATGTGGCTTTTTCATAATCATCATAACCACTCTCTATTTCGCCACGTTCCAGCAAAACGTTATTTGTCTATTATATTTCACAAAGAAGTGTCTTAAAGTAAAGTTATCAAAAAGCAATAAAGTTATTATAAAAGTTATAATTGGATAATATTTTTTCCATTGTACTTAGTTCAGAGTGACAGATAACTTGCTTTAAAGCATAGAACACGGCTTCATTCATTTGCAACACTTTCATTCATAGTCTATGTTTACAAAACACAAGCCTTGAGTGACCACAAGATTTTGAGTTGTTGCTAGATCACATATGGTTGCGGCCGGAAGTTGACGAGAATTACTCATATTATTTATTCAATTTCCCATTAATTGTATTTTTTTATGTCTATCCCTACTGTTGGAAAATTAATGAATGAATGAGAGAACCGAGTCAAGAAGACTTGAACAACCAAAATTTCTTTATTAAGAAGTGTTGGTTGTTTTGCAGTCATACAGCACCTTCAAGAAGTCCAAAAGTTACAGGAGTCTCTTACAAGTCTGTAATGCCTGCAAGGTTTATCACAAGTCTATAAAGTCTAAAATGAGTCTGTAATCAAGTCTAATGGAGACAGGGTCCTCCTGTCTTTTATGTTTTAAGAGGGGCAGAGTTTGTAGGTGGAATATAGTAAATGGGGAACTAGATTATATAAATTTATATTACCACACAACCCTAAACTCAACCATCACGGTAATGTAAAAACAATAGTTGTATTGAGTATTATTTCAGTTATTTATTAAATGACCCAATAAATTGTATTAATATCTACCCCCACCCCAACAGTCACAGTACTGTAAAAATATTAATTATTGTTACTGTATATAGCGTCACAAAAATAATGCTATATTGATGTGCGTATCTGCAGCTGTATCCTATCTAGACATTACCAAGTTCCTGCTGTATTCGGTGTCCATGCATCGAATCCTTGTGCCCAGTCTATGATGAATCGAGGTTTCTCTTCGTGATGGGGCAGGAATTTAATCGTACTAATTTTATTTTAAAAAATTTACGTCTACCCCTACCCCCAACCCTAAACCCAACCATCACAGTGATGTAAAAACAGTTGTTGTACCAAGTATTATTTATTTAATTTATTAAATTAGCCAATAAATTGTATTTTATTAATATCTACCCCTACACCATTGCTAAACCCAACCGTCACCGGCAGGAATTTGAACATTTGGACACTGTACGAAAAGTGCAGTCCTATACCATCTCTATAAAATTTAAATTAAGCAATTTCAGTAATATATGTACTGTGCTTATTATTTACTTATTAATTTCTAGCACATGCATGTGAAGACTGGTCACAATCTAATTTGAATAAATAATCAATTATAAACTTTTAAGAATCTATTCAGAATCACTAGAGAAAGAATCTATTGAATCTCAATGAATCAATTTATTTCTCTCTCTCCCACCCCTACTGTCCTGGCAAGTGCAGGTGTAAAAGGTCCCATCAAATTAAAATAAAGTTTTTTACATGTTAGTAATAGTATTGTTAGTTTTTAAGATCTTGACACAAGTTTGTATATAAAACTGATATAAACAGGTAAAGCATCTAGTTTGTCACTTTCTGTCTTAATGGATCAACGATTTTATTCACTTCATACTCATTCTACAGTTTCTCACATCAACTCATACTACAATTTCTCATCAAATCAGATCAAATCAAATCTGACATGCCACGTTCATTTCAAGTTGATTCTCATTTGCTTTTCATTTGATGCATTTGAGCTCAACCACTCTCACTGGCAGAGCGGTCCTAAAACAAAACACTGTTAGCTGCTTTTTAAAAAGAGGTTGGAGCTACACTATATTCCACCCTCTCTTCATGTTTCGGTTGAGATTACATCAAACATCAAATA